TCTGGCCATCCAAGAAACATATGCAGATTATTATAGTCCTTCTCGGTAGAATGCCGAATGTACGTACAGCCCACTTTCTCATGTCTGTGAGTTCCTAAACTTCAATTCTGTTCGTAGTCAATGCATATTTATTAGCCGCTATTGTTTGTGAGTTCCTAAACTTCAATTCCAGAACTTTGTTCTCTTGGCATTGATAGGCTTAAGTCTTTTTCTGTTTAGGTTTTGTATCATTTCTCCGTCTTGGGGTTGAGTGGGTTAGGGTTATGGAATGTTTTCATTAATTGACTTTCTCCCACTCTTTTAACGAGATATCATCTATTATTCTTGTTTATATCGCTACCGTAATTGTATAAGCTATATTGTGCCTTGTTCTGTTAGAGCTTTACTTTGTTGCTCGCTTGTGGGCTTTAGAAATCACGATCTGGAAAATTAATTTGTTTTATTTGGCATTGTGAATTGTCTTGCTTTAATATTCTTACATTGCATAATTAATGAGAGGAAACATACAAGTAAAAGTTCTCTTTTTGTGTATATTGGATAATCAATTTCACGCTTTTGATGCGCAATTACATTGGTGGTTCATTTATAAAAGGCTTCTTTTCAATGAAATTGCTTTGATCAAGAATGGATTCAAACCTGAAGTATTTTTTTGTCATATGCTTCTTTGGCAAGTAATGAACGTCCTTCTCATTGTGAGAGAGCAATTGAAGTTCTTCAAGCTTTATTGCGTTGAGGGATTCTTTATTTGGGAGTCTTTACAACATTTTTGTGTTGGGACAAATGGTTTGAAGGGTGTCACATAGAAAGTAAATCCTAGGGTTATGTTTGGAACAAAAGAACATCACTTGTGGAGCTTGTTAGAAAACCACACTTTGATTCATTAAGGAATAGTCAAAATCCTATTTAAATGATATAATTGAATCTACATGAAGTTTGTATGAAGTTGGAACAATCAATCTCGAATTACAAATTTATAGAATCGAGAGTTCATTGTATTAATATTACGTGGAATTTCCTAGGACGTCAACTTTTATTTGCTTTCAATAGTTTTTTCATTATCCCATTGTCAAACTAAGTGTGGAATTTCAAATAAATTCAACAAATATTTAATTCGTTCCAACTACAGCGTGAGTTTATTATTTAGTTCTTAGTGCATAATGTTCTTAATTCTGTCCTTATAGCATGCTGCCTAAGAAATGATACAAAATTGAAAATCAACTTGTATGCTATTCTTTATTTCTAATGTTTTATTTTCTCTCCCTCTCTCTGTATCTAGTACTGTGGAAATCCAGAAGGGAGGGTCAAACAAGTACCTGCCTCCTCACCAATGTATTGCTTTCAAAATAAAAGGATCTTGCCTGGCAAATGCTACAAATTTACTATTCCATTGTGCACATTTTTTTAACTAATGCCATAAAAGTTCATCTTTTAGGTTCATTGTGATATGAAAATTGCTTGTCACCACAATATTGGAATTGTTTGTCCTGCTAATGATAATTTCTTTTTGACATGTCTAAATTATAGAATTTGCGGACTTCAGGAGACTTTTCTTGTATGAAGATGTTGGGTGAACAAGTGATGTACCCATCTCAGAAGGAATACGTCAACATAGAATATGAAGATAGACTAAGCAGCTTAACAGAAGATCTTCGCAAGCGTATTATGTGTGTGCTCCCTATACAATATTCAGTAAGAACTTGCAGATTGTCCAAAAAGTTGAGATACACCTATGAGTCTCTTCCTACTCTTTTATTCGATTCCTTCCAATTTGCTACCGCTGAAAGTGGACCTGACAGTTTTGTGGAATTCATAGACCAGATGTTATTGCATCATGATGATTCAGATATAGCAGCCATCAAATTAAAATTATGTAGAGGAGGAGCACTCATAATCTTAAAGGCCGAATGGATTGATTTCGCTTTGAAGCGTAATGTTGAAGACCTTGTTGTTGAAGGTCTTTTTTTGGGAACAAAGAGGGTTTGGCTTGTGTCTTTTCATCCAGAAAATTGAGAAGATTTTCTTTTTCCATGGAATGCTATAGTCTCACATTGCGCTCATCCATTTATCATCCCAGTCTTAAAGAGTTGTGTCTGGGCGGTGTCATTTTTTACCGGTGAGGAGGATTTGTCAGGGGAGTTATTCTCATCGTGTCCAGTTTTGGAATCTGTGCAATTGTGGAATTGCAATCTGTCTTTTTTGAAGGTTTTGAATGTTTTTGCTTTCATACTCAAACACCTTGAAATAGACAATTGTGGCGAGCTCGAAAACATTGAGATCAATCTCCTTATGCCAAGTTTTACATCAATTATATGCAGAGGAAATCTTGCGCAAAACTATCAAATTAGGGACAGCCCTTTTTTTCATTATGCAGATATTCAAGTTGGAGAAGTTTACAGAGATAAGATGAGTATAAATATTTTTAGCCGCGTTGCGTTGAAGTTGCTTACTGAACTCCAGAATGTTAATGTACTGGCTGTGATAATTTGTTTTGGGAGGTATATGCTTTGTCCACTCTTGTAAGTATTGGTTTTTTTTTTTTTTTTTTTTTTTTTTTTGTGTGGCTCCTGATTGATTGATATTGCGTCGTCTTAGCTTTCCTTCCAAAAAAAACAAATATCCTCCTGATATTCCTTGGCGTTGCGGCTTCCCTTCTACCGGGCCTAAAATTCATGGACATGTTCAAATGCCTGAACTTTTTGCAACCTTATCAAAGTCGGTCTGGCTGGCCAAAAAACATAAACTGATGAACATAATCCTTCGCGGGAACAATCCAAACATACGTAACGCGCACGTTCTCG